CGGGCACCATCAGCTTAGAAAGCCTCATCTTTCTTCTGAGGAGCAGCTAGTGGTTTTGAACTGCTGACCTTGTGGTTGGCAGCTCAAAATGTAACCACTACACCAGCAGCGTGGAGTGGGAGCGGGGGGCCTCCTCGCCCCCCACCCATTCCTCCAGGATTCCCAATTGACAGAAACATTCCTTAATTTCATGGATGCTTATTTTTTATGCAACCTGTAAATGAATGTTAAGTACTTATGCTAACCGTCGCTGTTTAGGTTGTTTGTTTAATTGCCATCGTAAAAGCTGTGTTTATTAAGAATCCTTAGAACCTTATTCCTTTAAAGACCAGCCTGGTTAATTTTGAGTCCAGGGATTGGGAACCTTCTAGTGTCCACAGACAACTACTGCGTGGAGTGAAAGAGATGATTTTGTAGCAGACTTGGAAACCACAGGGGCATCCGAACTCTGGCATACATATTGGAAGGTAGGCAGATGCTCATGGGCAAAACCGCACAAAAATCCTCAAATCAAGAGGCAGAGCTCATGTTCCCAGGGGAAGGGTATTCTTTTTGCCCACTGCTGGTGGGTCCCGGTCACTGTGAGCCCCGGCCAAGCTACCTGGGTGACTCCCTTGGCCACGAGAGCAGCAGCGGGGCAGTTGGCTCTGCCCACTCAGAGGACGTCCTCCTTGCCCAGGGCACACCAAAGACCGAAGACTCAAGCCAAGCTCCTCTCACCTTCTCACTGGACGGGAACAAGTCCTTTATCTGGTGAGGATTCCGTGGCCGCATGCTGGGCTCGAAGTGTACCAGGCGGAAGTGCTGTGTTTTCAGGAAGCTGGTTATCCACTCGGCCGCCGCGTCGCCACAGTCCCTGCCCTCGATCTCTAGGCCGTGTACTCTGCAGGGACACAAGGGCAAAGGGTGGACATGGCTTGAAAAGCTGCCCCCAGCTGTGAAGTTGTAATGCCTTCCCTCTCAGAAGGCAGTGCAGTAACCCTGGCCCTTCCCCTGACACCTAAATATAGGTACTGGTCTAGGGCTTACTTTGCCCACTTTTGCCCCTGGGTGGTACAACTGGTTAAGCGCTTGGCTTGGAACCACCCAGAAGCACTTCACAAGGAAGGCCTGGAGATGAAAGCCTTTCAAAGCCCTCTGACCCACAGTTCTACTAGCCCACACAGGCCACCGTGAGTCCTCTCAACAGCTACTGGCTTGTGCCTTGGTGTTGGCACCCATTTGTGAGACTCGGCTGGGCCTCCCCGCCACAGAGGAAAAGAAAAAAGAAGTTGAATTCTGTTGCTGCTGATCTGATTCCGACTGACAACGACTCTCTAGGATGGAGCAGAATTGCCCCAGCGCTTCTAACACTGTCAATCTGCATGGAAGTAGACTGTCACGTCTTTCTACAAAGATCAGCTGGGAGGTTTGAACTGCAACCCTCTGATGAACCTGTTGGGCCAACGGGGCTCCTCCAAAGGTCTCTGAGGAGAATTCAATGAGATTCTATATTTGAAAATGTGCTGAGTGCCCCAGAAGCAAGCTAATTTATTAATAGAAGGTAAACTGCGAACTCTGATTGACCACCACAAGAGTCTACCAACACAATTGACTATACTTTGCTGGCATAATCATAATTCACACACACTTAATGGATATGAAAATGTTCTCCAAATATAAAATATTACCAAAACCGACCCAAATTCGCAGCCCTCCAGTAGGCGCTGACTCATAGGGATCCTGCAGGGGAGAGAGGGATTGCCCTGTGGGCTCCATGCCCCTATCTCGACCCCAGTAGCAAGCGCCCTCTTTCGCCCAGAGTGGTGGGTGGTTTTGAATTGCAGTAGTCAGTCGAAAGTGTAAGCAGTGCACATTCCAAACCCAAACCAAACTCACTGCCATCAAGTCAGTGCTGACTCATCGTGACCCCATGTGGGTTTCTGAGCCTATAACTGTTTACAGGAGTAGAAAGGCCGGTCTTTCTCCCACGGAGCTGCTGGTGGTTTTTAACTGCCAATGATGTGGATTGTAGCCCAACAAGCAACCACTGCACCACCAGGGGTCCTACAACCATTGGGGCTCTTAAAATATTACAGGTCTAGGCGTTATTCATTTAATGACCAGGAATAACATCAGAGTCTCCAGATGTTGCAAACAGTTCACTCCAAGGCTGGTGGGCATTAGAGAGGCCTGGAGATGTACCTCTGAAAACTCTCCGGAGCACCGCCCCAATCGGACACACAAGGGTGGCCACCAGTCAAAGGGGCTCGATGGCAACTAGTGTGGGGTTTTCGGTTTGTTCGCTTGTTTTCATCGCTCTTTAGGCTTTAAAGTTTCCCCTGCCCAAGTCACAACCAGTTGTGAGGTTGACGATTTGAGAATTACAAGTGTCTACATATCACTGCCGTCCAAGGTGCACCTGACCCAAGCTGTGGTATTGTGCATCGACTCTGATGCCCTGCTGGTGTTGGTGGGGACCATGTATGCAAGGGGCAGTCCTATTCTGTCGTACGGGGTTGCTGTGAGTCAGAATTGACTCAATAAAAGTTGGTCTGGCTTGGCTTGTTTTTCATATGCATATAAAAGTATCGTCAGGACAGTGAATAAAAAAAATGGAAAATAACCGATACGTTTGAAGTATGCTGTTGGCAAAGAACATTGACAGTACCATGGACTGCCAGCAGAACAGACAAATCTGCCTTGGAGGAAGTACAGGCAGAATGCTCCTTAGAAGTGAGAATGGACAAGACTACCTCATGTACTTTAGACATGTGATCAGAAGGGCCACTTCCCTGGAGAAGGACAGCATGCTTTGTCAAATAGAACATCAGTGAAAAAGAAGAAGACTCAACAAAAGGTCTTGACACTGTGACTACAACAATGGGCCCAAATACAACAACATCTGTAAGGATGAGGCAGGACTTGGCAGTGTTTCCACATAGGGTCTCCCTACCCACCCATCGCCATCGAGGTGATTCAGACTCCTAGAGAACCAATGTAGGGCTCCTGAGGTTGTAAATCTTTATGGGAGTAGGTAGCCTCGTGTTTCAGCAGGCAGCCTCTTGTTTCTCCCATGGAGAGGCTGGTGGGATTGAACCATCCACCTTATGATTAGCAGTTCAACTTCCAACCAACCGAGCCACCCAGGCTCCTTCACTTCTGAAGATGTGAAGAAAGGAATGTTATAGTATAGGCCAGTGTTTCCCAAAGTGTAGTACAAGAGTGAGATGATCGTAAATGGGTCGTCCTGAGCGCAGTAGGAAATAATGGCGAAGGGCACAGGGAGAAAACCCAGCGTAGTGCAAACAGGTCCCTCGTGCCTGGCAGGACTGGATACTATTCCTTCACAAATATGACTTGGTTACCTTTCTTACGAAGGAAAAACAGACTGTAGCAATAAGATCGCTCTAGGCAATAGTTTCCAACTAGAAATGATGGCATTTATTTGAAGCGTTTTTCTTATTTGTTACTTTTCTTTTCCATTCTTTGTCAAGTCGACTCTGGCTCATGGCCACTCCAATGTGACCGTGTACAACTTGGCTCCAGAGAGATTTCAAGGGCTGGTTTTTCTGAAGTACATCACCAGGCCTCTCCTCCAAGGAGCCTCTGGGTAGACTCCAATCCTTTGTACTACCCATGTGGCAAATTGAGTTGGCCATCCCAGGTTTCCCTTTTTAATGAGTGTGTTTACATGTGTTTGTTTGTGTTAAGCTGAATGAACTTACTGAGTCAATGATTAAGTAGAGGTACAGATGGTGTGGGGCTTTGACTTGGGATAAATCATGGCCGTGTTATGTGGATGCAGTCAGGAGGGTGAGCATACTGAAGTACACATCCTGTTTCCACCAATGGCGAGCACTGACCTTAGGGGGTCACAGGCCCAGGGGCTTGTCCTAGTTACAGGGTCTGTTGAGAAAGACTCCCTAGATGCCTTCGGGCTTCTATTGGCAATACTGGCCTTTATTCAGCTAAAGTGTTTGCATCCCTATTGGGCTACCCAAAACAATGACAAATGCCCTCCCTCTCAGGCTGACACTTCTTTCCATTGCAACCTCCACGAGTGGGTCTTGAGCATCACCCACGCTGGAACCTGAGGCCTTCGGGTGGACTTTGTCCTTTATCCTCTTGTTCGTCCTCCGACATTTAGCCTGAGTCCCAAGAAGTCTAAAAGATGAAGCAAACAAATTCCAAAGGCTCCTGAGATGTTAGCCAAAGATCATCTAGGCATGGTCTTGGGCAGCTTGCCTGAATCACCCATGCAAAGGTCCAGCTTGTTCTACCCCATTAGTGGGTAAAAAAAATCAGATAACAGCCTTGACCGTGAAAACAGGTGTACTTGGCTATGATCATGACCTTTTCAAGGTGACCCTGGGCGCCACAACTCTTCAGAGATCTTTCAGAAACTGGAGGCTGAGGTTACCACGGCTTCCCAGGAGGAAAGTCTGGGCTGCCAACAGAAACCTGAGGCCCAGGCGGGCCTGTGATCTTTGCTGGAAACGCCTGCCAAATTGGGTAGCATGTCTAAGCCTTCTTCTCATTTTGCTATTTCTAAACACATCCCTGTTTTGTCTTTGAGGCATCAACCAAAAGTCTGCATGGAACCGTGAAAAATGAGAAGAGTTTCCATACAGTTCCAAATGAATTAAAAGTTGAATGAAGAAAAAATTATACTAGCGAAAAGAAATTTTGGATAGACATCTAGCCATGGCAAACAAACATGGCATATGAACAGGAAAGACAAATTGCCAACAAGCATATTAAAAGGTTTACTTCATTCAGGTCAAGATGAAAATTAAATCAAGAAGGTAGCATTTTTGCCAGTGAAAAGAACAGGATGCTTGTCAACATCCTCGAGAATACAGTGAGACCAGCATGCTCCCATCTCACTTGCTGTCTTCAGTCCATTCGGACTCACAGCAGCCCCAGAGAACAGAGGTAAACAGCCCCAGGGAGTTCTGAGGCTGTGCCTCTTTATGGGAGTAGAAAGCCTCATCTTTGTCCCACAGATAAATAGGCCAGAAGCTGGAATCACCTTTCCACAAAACAATTCGGTGACAGCGTACAGAGCAATTCACACAAAACAACGCGGTGTACAGAATTCTAACAAAACCAATACTAAGATTTCTTCTCTAACAAAACATTAATAAGACATATGAACCAAGATTCATATCGAGATATTTATCACACAACTCCTCATTCCTGGAAACAGTCGAAACCAAGCCAGAACCGGAATCACAGGACACAGCAGAGTGTACTTACAGAATGAAATGTTACCTGAACCTTGAAATGATGTTTGTATATGAAAAATGTTCAGCACAGCAACTTAATCATGTCAACAGTAGTTAAGACTTGTTTTTTTCCCTTCGTCTCTTTTTGATATCACTTCAATTTGGTTTAGAAGTATGAGCTGTAGAGGCAGGAAAAAAATACGCCAAAACATCCACTGCAGTTGACTCAGCTGCTGACCACGCCCCCTCACCCTGCCCTGACAGTTTCCATCATTTCAACAATGAATGTGTGTGAACTTTTAGAATAAGAAAGACAACAAAATTAAACCTAAAGCATTATAATTCTTAAAACTCAAGGACTAAAAAACAAACAAATGACGATCAAGTCAATTCTAACTCATAGCGACCGCATATAGGGTTTCTAAGCCTATAAATCTTTACTGGAGCAAATAGGCTCAGCTTTCTCCAAAGGGGCGGTTGTTGGGTTTGAACCTCTAACCTTGCAGTAAGCAGCCCAATATTACTCAATAGAGACACTGGGACTCCTATAAAATATTATATATAAATTATACTGGTATTACATTTTCTGACTTTGGGAGGATTTATACCGTTTTTGACATATATTTACATTTTTTATTATATTTCCTATAATAAGCTAAGGACTACATCTACCATTCACATTTCATCTGGCTCCCAAATACATAAACTTTCACAAGTATAATTAGACCAAACTTTAATTCTCCCAAGGGTCCTTGTGGTGCAGAGGCGCTGGGCTGCTAACCGCAAAGTCAGCAGTTTGAACCCACTGCTTCCTCTGACCTTAGTCACCCAAAGCTCAGCCACAGCCCACAGGTCGCAGGCCACTAAGTCTGCCCAAGACTTCACATGCCAGCAGGATCTTGGACGGCCCCCTCACTTTAACATACTGCCTACAAACTTGGGGAGGGGGGCAGTTCCATTCGCTCCTCAGGCTGCCTCCCTCATTTCTAACCTGGTCCCTCCCATACTCTCTCAGGTCTACTAATGCACAGGAAGGAGTCGCATCACTCAGAGAAAGCACTACACGCACAGTTACCATTTTGGTATAGCATGAAAGATACACATGAAGAAACACAGAGGGCAAGGTCTAGGAAAGTTCCCTACACCCAGCCTGCATGTCCCAGAAAGGATGGATGGCTTTCACCGACCAGGAAGCCCCTGGAGTTTCTGTGCTCACAGCCTTTATTGGCTACAGTACATAGTCCTGATGAGGACCTGCTGTTTAATAAGCATGATTGATTGGATTGTACCCCACCCCCCACCCACCCACCTCTACCACCCGGGCTCGCCAAGGTCACCTGATATCGTGCCACATAGCAGCCTTTCTGTCTAGGCTGGTCCCAGCCCTTAGCACAAACCCTCAAGCATCCGGAGGCAGATAACAAAAGTACCTTAGTTACTTGGGAAATTCCAAGGGATCGCTTGAAAGATCCCAGGGCAAAGACCCCGTTGCTTTGGGAATGATTAAATTCTTTACTTCACAGACCCTATCTCCCTGGCTTTTGTGCCTGTGGCTCTCAATGTGACCCCTGTGGCCATAAAGCAAAAGCTTCTGCAACCACGTCATCATTTTCCTCTTTTAGATCTTGGAGTGGAGAACTTGGCAAACAACAACAACAACAATAATGAAGGTGAATAAATGATGCCTGGCAACACAGTAGGTTATGTGTTGGCCTGCTAGTCACCAGGTCAGCAGTTTGAAACCACCAGTCGCTCCATGGGAGAAAGAGGCTTTCTACTCGCATGGTTGACTGTCTCTGAAACCCACAGGGGTCATTCTACCCTATCCTATAGGGTCATGAGATGGAAATGACTCCATAGCAGTGAGATCATGATAAGGCTGTGAGGACAGAGCATGTTTCTCAGGACTCTCCCCATAGTCCATGCTTTTTGAAGCAGGCAGGTACGTCTTCAGGCCCCGAGTCTTACCTGCACGTGTGTATCGCATTCGTGGTGGGTGGTCTGAGGGGCAGCAGCAGGTCCTGCGTGAAGGCTGCACTGAGAGTCAGAGAGTCCCCATCACAGGTCAGGGAGATCAGGACCAGCCGAGGTTCCTGGCGCGCTGTCACCATGTTCCCTTCCTTGTTGATCACGAGCCAAAACCTGCCATTTACAAAATGCAATATTTGTGTGGGCCAGTAGGACAGTCATCTGGTCTTCGAGGGTGCTTTAGTTATACGCTGTCATCTTTGGGTTCCTCCCCCTTCAGCCTGGTGTGGAAGGGGGGCTGGGGGCGAGGGGAGGTGCACAGGGAATGGGATTGGTCTGTCTGCCTCTGTGTTCTCGAAAGTCAGCAGCGAGGCAAGCTGCTGGCGTTTTTGTTTTTCTTTGTTGAGGTTAATTTCAAAACAGATGTAATCATCACTCAAGCCCCGGACATGTAATACTGACCGAACGCTTGGAGCTTCTTGGTGGTACAGAAATCAAAGATGTTGATTATATTTTCATGGCAATGGCCAAAACACTTGATCACTGTCTTAAACATGCCGCAAGGAGACAGCAGTAATCTATGTCTCAAAAGATGTGAGGGCGCAAGGAATACCTTGCATACCTGGCACACCACTGTCTGCAGCCCACTGAACTGCTGGGCTGCTCCTTGCCTTGACTTTCTATTCCCTCAAAGCGTCGCAGTCTTGGAAGCCCACGGAGCAGTTCCACTCTGTCCTATAGGGCCACTGTGAGTCAGAATTAACTCCATGGTAGAGAGGTTTTCAAAAAATGTTTGGGTACTTCTTGGATTAATCACAGAGACTCCAATTCAGTTGAGAAGCATATAAGTGCTACTAATACCTTGTCAGATTCACCTCTCATCTCTAAATAAGTGTTTCATGAATTTTAAGTCAACATCAACTTAGTATGGCTTAAATATTGGACTTATGCAAATATATTCAGGGCTGTGGGTTCTACACATTTGATACAAGGCTTATTGTTAATCTTGACCATATTTTTTCCCAGCTCAGTTCTACTGGCCTACAGATACTTCTCAGAAAGACATGAATGAATGAGAAATGAGAGGAATAGGCCAGTTTCCCCAAAAATAATATTTCAAGAAAAGAGGACAACTGTGTAGAGTACCTTGTAGCAACTAGGAGGCAAAACAAATGTGGATGCATTGTGGTAATCTCACCCCACTGCATCACAATTAGACAAGTGAGCTTTTGCTTTTAAAATGCACAGATATAAGGGGGAAACTCATCAGGCACTTTTGACCTTTAAAAATATAGGCCTTTCAACAACCCTCTCTCTTATGGTCTGGGGCCCTGTCCCTGCACCCAAAACTCTTAACAGCTGAGACATTCAGCTAACTAACTCACTGTCCTCTAGTCCATGGTGACCCTGTGGGACATGGTCCTATAGTCCATGGTGCCTATAGATCTGCCCCTGTGGGTTTCCGAGACTGACTCTTTATGGAGTAGAAAGCCTCATCATTCTCCCTCAGAGCAGCTGCTGGGTTTGAATTGCTGACCTTGCAGTTAGCAGCCCACTGCACAACACACTACACCAGCAGAGCGCCTCAGGTATTCAGCTACCTGAGATCAATAGGTTAGCCCCTCGCCTAGGATAGGCCCTTCCTTTCTCAATTCTCTCCACCCACATTAGACACACAGAGCCCTGGCCTGCCTGCCCCAGCTGCTTCATACTAGCACCCACGTATCTTTTGAGCAGTAAGATTGGCCGACAGCTTTTCCTCAGCTTTTCCGTCTGATCATGTCACTAATCCATCATTCAAATCTCTTCAAGGCCTGCTTTTCCGCACAGGATCAAATGCTCACTCCATAGGTCGGCTGCTTCCCTGCTAATCTCCCCCTCTCTTAGCATACCTGGGTTCACTTTCTCTCCTCACTCAATTCCTCCCAAGACGGGCTCATGAATCCTGGTCACTTAGCCCAGTTGGTCCCCTCTGTCTAGAACGGACTTGCCTGAAAAGTTCACATTTTTTGAGCCGTAGTTGAAGCTGTGATCTCTCTAAAATCCTTCCTGACTACCCCAGGTGGCTACCAGGCAGTGTCCCTCTCTCCCTTCCAAGTTGTCACACAGGTCTGAGTGACTCTAGGCCTCTGTTTGTTCCTCGTGACACATTTTCCGTGAGTATGACTACCAACAGAAAGAAAGACATTAGCCCCGTGGTTGCTGTTGTTAGCTTTGGGGCCTTTGCGGCGCATGACCACCACATGGGCACAGAAGAGAAATGCTCCCTAGGGTTATGAAGAACAGATTGCAAGGATCTTTTTCGAGGTGGCTCTAAGTGGCTTCAAACCTCCCACCCTGTGGTTAGCAGTGAAGTGCTGAACGCTTCATGCCACTGGGACTTGAATCTAGTTGACTGACATATCATCTCCTATTAGTATCAATTATAATAGGAGCTTGATAAACATTGGGTTGGTGTAATAAAAACACAATGTCCTTTGCCTCTGGAGCCTGTGAGAACAAACAGTAAATTCAACCAGCTTGCCAAGGCCATTGTGCAACTCCTGAGCTACATTGCCTTCTTGGCTTCCTTCCTGAGGGAAAGGTGCACCTTCCAGTATTCCACGGATTATTCTGTTCTCCCTCGGAAAAGCCACAGCCCCTCCAGACCTGTGTAGTTTTCCAGTGAAGTTGAGGACTGGGCTGGGAGGAAGCAGTTTGGAATGCAGTCTTCCAAGGAGGCCGGGGGCCGACCCACAGCCACACCTGGAAGAGGACAAAGCCACTAGCCCTGAGTCCTTCAATCTCTGAATCCGGGGAATCCCCACAACCCTGATCAGGCATTAATGAAAATCAGTATTTCCTAAGCACAAGCAGATTCAGGGAAACAAAAGTCCCACTGCTGAGTGACACGGGGCATCTGTTTCTTTGCCCACAAAAGATCCATGGAGGAAATCAGAGGGGAAATGGTAAATACCATCACACGTATTGTCGAACAATACATAACAAATTTACAATCTAGTATTTATCACAAGTAACGTGACACCAATCACATTCATCATGTTGTGCAATCAATATCGCTTGCCAAATGTTCAGCACCATAAGCAGAAACTCGGGACACTCGCACTTTGTAAGCTGTAAAAGTGCACTTGCTAAGCTGCAGCCAGCCATTAGTATGTGCGCGGCCTGCAGCCCTTCCTTGAGGGCTGACTACCGCTGTTTGCATTGTTTCTAAGTTCGCAAAAGTCTCAAAACATAAAGCGTCTGGGACCAATCCCACTAGATGGAGGCTTAATGTTTGCTGGAGCGCAGGCAAACACCTGGCCTGACAGCGCCCCTCGGCGGTGGAAAGTGGGTCCGGTCACGGGGCCTGGTTCAGAGTCCTGCGTCCCCAGGTTTGCTCTCCGGGAACTAGGACCTTGTTTCTGTCTCCCCCTGCCTTTCCCGCTCTCGACTTCTTGGGGAAGGAGGGAAGGGTTCTGCAGACCTCCCACGGGCGCGTCCTGGTCCCGAGCCCAGCCAACGTGGCCCATCGGTCCGGCGGGTCGTACCTGTCCCGCAGGTGGCCGCTGCGCAGGCCCATGGCCGTGCACTCGGCCGTATCCACCAGCACCCCCTTGCACGACTTGACCGGGTAGATCCACAGCTGCGACACGGTGCCCACCTGCTGCAGCCGCCGGCGCCGCCTGGGTCGCGCTCGGCGCCAGGCCACGGCCCCCAGCGCCACGGCGGCCAGTCCCAGCGCGGCGACCCCGAGCCACCCGGGCCGGGCCTGCGCGGGGAGGCGCGGCGCGGAGAGGCCCAGGCGGGTCAGCGCCGACAAGCCGGCTGCGCCCATGGCCGAGGCTGCGGGACTGGGGACAAGGC